CCCGGGTGTACGCACTGGCTGAACTCTACGACATACCTGCCTTGAAAGCGACGGCGCTCGAGAAGTTCAACAGGACCATACAAGACCACTTCCATCCAAATCGATTCCTGGACGGTGTGGAAGAGGCATATGCGTCGACAATACAGGAAGATAGGGGGCTACGAGACATAATTGTCCAATTTTTCTATAAACATCCAGATTTACTAAAGCAGGAACGAGTAACAGATATTCTCCAGGAGGTACACCCTTTAACATATGACTTGTTTATGTACTGGCAGGAAATGCGGTCAAAATAATATCCTCAGCATATAGCAAAAATAACCTCTAGTATCGTCACAACTGCAGGACCTTTGTAACCCTGACCTAACTCATTCCTAAACATCAGTCTCCGCCTTGGAAGGATAAGCCCGCTGTATCAGTGTCCATCGATGCTTAGTATCCAACTCTATCTCCGTTTTAAATGTCACCTTTGTCTTATCCAGAGCCTCTCGAATTTCCGACTCAGCCACTTCCTGGCTTTCCTTCACGCTGTTCTCATGTTCAACAATAATCGCCCTCTTCACATCGTTCAGTTTGGCTTCTTCAGCGGCAATATATGCCAGCTTTTTCTCTAGTCGGACTTTCCATTGAGACTCTTCTCGGATCAGTTCGTTGACTGCCTTTTCAACCTTAAGCCTTAAGTTTCTGACGAGGTGCTGGTACTTTTCGACCTGCAAGACGCCCAGAAGCCTCTCCGCGTCAACTAGCAGCTCCATCATTTCATCTGATTCCATATCGTAACGACGGACAGCAGCATTGCGAATCTCGAACCCTGGCTGGAACAATTTCTCGAGTTCTTCATCATTGGCTACCGTACCGAAATTATCTCGTCGACAGAGGAATTGTTTCATCCAATCACTAAGCTGTGCAGCCTCAGCGCAGCCCCAGCATTGCTCCTCGAGAACATCAGGCATGTGCTCGCGCGCATAGGTATAGCAAGCTCGCTCAAGATACTTCTGTAGATCAACCAAAAGCTCGTGCTGGCTACTGACTGACAGGCGCGCCGTTTGTCGGTCGTCTTGGGCTCGTCGCTCAAGACCTGGTTGTCCATCGCCTTCTGGAACTGTGTGATATCAGTTAGTATGCCCCAATGTTATCCAGTTCCGCCACATGATCGTTGGAACCACGTACATTTTGCTGCATTGGCTGGGGCACCTTCCGTCAGAACAGCTTCTCCTATAAGGGCCTCTGCATCTCCGGAGGGCTCAAGGATCAACTCATCTGGGTTGACCGCTCCAAGAATCTTATCTTCTGCTACAGTCTTATCTACAGCCTTGACTGCAGGAATATCGCCTCCGAGGTCAGGAAACATACGCTGTGCGATAGAAGGATTTGCAAACACTCCATCGCTTGCCAGCTGTTTGACCCTGGCCTTTAAACCATCCATGCCATACTTCTTGATTAGCATTTCGACACCTACTCTGTCATATCGTTTATTGACGACGTAATCACTCTTTTTCTGCCCAGTTTTGACGCTTTTCTTCAATAAAAGGCTGTCCTTGAATGCCATATAAATATCTTGGTTCTCAGGCACGCCTTCCGATGTAAATACGACGACTTCGTTGACGTTCTCCGCTTGTCCATCGACTGACCGACCGTTTCCGCGACAGAGAGTGCATGTTGTTCGTCCAGACTGAGCATCGTGAGAGTCTGTGATTCTGCCACAATCGCATTGATAGCAAGGGTTTGATTCAGTTGATGACCTAGCCATAATGGTTCCGGTAATGAACTTAGGCTAGAGTGTTCTGCTAGTTTAGTAGGGAGATCGATATTGTTGCAAGTCGACAGTTTAGAAGCGGGGGCTGAGAGACATCCGTCTGTACGTACCCTGCAGCACGACATGTCAGCCGTAAGACATGCTGCATGGATGCCTGGGCACCTAACTCTTGGATTAGGCTCTGCAGGCCGACATAATTTGCGCACCTGTCCAATCAACTTCATATCTTTAGCATTTAGCAAGCAGCGTACCGACCGATCATTGACTCGTCCGTCAAGTGTAAAGCCATGTACTCTTCTTTACGGTGCAGGCAGATCTTTTGTAAACCAGGGAACATTGCCCCTCGCAAGTCCAAAGCGATCAAAGCGGTCGCTCAACGTCATCGACCGGTTGTTTCTTGCTTCTCTGAGAACGACCTTGTTCAGATCGTACGACACGAAGAGCATGGCGGCGTAGGCAAGTTTATTAGAATGGAATCTCCATACTGATTGTATATCATGGAATACTCATATTCTCAACCCGAAGTGATATCCGAAAGCCTCGTGTCGAGGGTAGCACCCTGCCAGAACAATGATCACCTGTTCGGGCGCACGTAGGCCTAGAGTCGCCAGCATAGTATCCTGCTGACCAGGGCGTCGCGGTTGTAATTGTATTTCAGTATAGTAGGGCTATGAGGATAAAAAGTCCGAGAAATATATATATTCTAGTCTGCGGCTCTTCTCCAGAAATCGCTATCATTATCGATGTCATAGTCATCATCGTCATCATAGTCATAGCCATAGCCATCAAAGTCAAAGCCAAAGTCAAGATCACTGAACCTACTGTCCCAGAACTCTTCTTCCTCAGCAGTATTCTTGCTTAGTATCCATCCATAGCTCTCCATTCTCTTTCTCAGACAATCACTCGGTCCATCCTCATATACCTCAAGAATGATCTCTAATAGAGAAGGCATAGCTCTAAAGTGAGTGTCGACAAGATGCAGTGCCTCAGTTGCAAGGTTGTAGTGGTCCAGATTGTCAAGCCTGAGTTCCATGCTACTTGTACTATACAAGGACGTCCTAAGCGTGATCAAACCGGTGCAGCTGCTCACAATGCTTCCAAGGATGCTGAGGCTTTCCTCCTCGATAGTAACATCGCCCGGGTCTAGATAGAGGAATTCTGGGAAGTCGATTACGATATGTTGAATGGAATTTGCGTTGCGGGGACCAATTTGCTTGAGGAACGAGGCCAACTTCTCGGGATCGCGTCCACCAAAGTCGAAGCGATTCTGGCTGTAGAATAGCAGGCTGGCTTCGCGGTGGACTGTCTTGCTAACGTAAAAAAGTTCTGTTGTAACCTGTAAACCATATCTGAGCCAAGGATCGATAGGCTCGGACTGCAGTAAAATGATTTCGTATATCGTGTTTCGAAGTTCGCCGGGGAGAGAGAGAAAGCTCACAGAGCCGCCCGTAGCAGTGGGCTATCGATCATTAGCTTTATGGCTCAGACCAATTTTTAAGAGCATGTATTGCAAACATTGAAGTTGGAGAGCTGGCTAGAATCAAACATCTCTATAAGTAGGTTCAACTAGGTAGTCGCTGATTTTGATTGTCGTACTGATTACCAAGTCATGATGGCAATGAATCCCAGTGGTTTCCCATGCGTCAGGAGATAACCCCGCATTGAGAATGGCAAAGCCACGTGCTCTAGTAACTCCAGCATCGAACTTGACCAATTTTTGTACTGTTTGTTCCTCACAGGGTAGTGCCCGGAAGTCTCTACCAAATACTATTATTATACGCGACCATCCACTGGAGAACTAAAGTGACTCTCAACTTGATGACGAAAGCGATTGACTGACGAGTAGTCCTTTATGAACGGCTGTTGAACGCCTGATTGGCCAACTCGTCGGCTTCCTTATTCATCTCCCGAGGCACTCGCCAGAACAGCACCTCGACATTAGATGTATTCAGGTCTCCAATAAGCGCGTGCAACTCCTGAAACAGTTGCGCATTTTCGACTAGTTTTCGCTTGGCAGTCTTGTAACCATTGGTCTCCCATTTGAATACCCACTCAGTCATTCCCTTAACAAGATAATCTGAGTCTGACTTGATGACAATTGTATGGAGCGGCCCATAGTGTAATGCATCGGCTTGTACGATGTCTTTTGCTTGCTTGAGTGCAAGGATGCCAGCCTTCAATTCTGCGATCTGGTTCGTCACATGCGACTGGTTCAACAGGACGCTCTGGTTGTATGTAGACCCTCGCCCAAAGAATACCCCGACAGCAGCTCTGGCATTTGCCTGGCCGTTACCCCTGCAGGCACCGTCAACTGCGATGAATATACCGTCGACATGAGGTGCAATGCAATCGCAGTCGCTGCAAGGCAGAGCGCTTTCGCATGCCACGTATGTCCAGTCCTCATCATTGTTGGTGACCTGGATCAAGTCTAGGTCTATGCCATGTCGATAGCGTGAGCTGGGCTCAAATTTGCGATCCTGTATCCATTCTCGGTCATCTGGCTGATGATGCGCATTAGTCGCCATATTTGCGCGGTCTACTTGGAAATGGCAGGGCCGTGATTGAATAGAATATTGATACCGGGCGACAAAGCGCAAACACTTAACCTGTCTATGGACGGCGTAGCTGCATACAAGCAAATGTTGCTGGTAACAGACGAGCATGTGAAGCTAAGATAATTTACACTACGCCAGGCATTTTTGACCGTGAGACATGCTGCAAGGATGCCTGAGCGGCTAATCCTTAAATCAGGCTCCCATCCAATCAACTTCACATCTTTATCTTCAAACCAACAGCGCACCTACCGACTGTCGACCCGATGCTTCTATCATGGACTATCCTAGCGGTCACAGGGAGGCCGTTTATATGAACGACTATTGTAGGTACGTTTTTAGCCTACCTGAAAACTCGCATATTAGCAGACAAAAGTCCATTCGCCTTGTCGTTAGAAGGCACGCCGTCGTGGTTGCAAACTTTACCGAACAGAAGCTCGTCGAAATTCTGCACTACCTTGTCGGCCAAGGTGTTTTTCGCTACCCATCCGCTGCTGCACAGGAATTTCCGAATCTCCGCGAAGCCGGGTTCACCATCGGGGTGCAGAGTCCGACGAATATATCGATTGAGCACCACGTCCCTGAGAGCCAGACGCATGAGATGACTACAATCGATTTGTCGTGGTTAAGGGAGTAAGTCTATATTGCTATCTCGTATTTTAGCCCCCTTTACCTCAACAAGAATGCTGATGCGACACTGCTAGCTCTTTCGATGATAATAGTTATTCCGATCTCATCTTGGTCTCCCGCGGCAAACAGTATAGTGTTCATCGCGCGATTGTCTGTCCACAATCCCCAGTAATAGCGAAGAAATGTAAATTCCAAGACGCAACTCAGGGGCGCACTTTGTGTGACACTTGTGGGGCCTCGCCCGGATATTATTTCGACTTCCTAGACGATGACCCTCAAGCTGTGGATTGTCTAATCCAATACTTTTATCAACAGGACTATCAGAGCAGCTGCAATAGTACTAAAGGAAAGGATGCTGAGTCATGTGACGCCGAGCATGAAGTATCAGTATCATTGTCGGAACAAGACGACATCGATGACTCTTATCCTATACTCCACGTTAGGGTATATGCACTGGCCGAGCTCTATGGCATACTTACCCTCAAAAGACTAGCATTGGAGAAGTTTAACAAGACAATACAAGAAAATGTGCAGACACATCGGTTTCTTGCCAGCGTTGAGGAGGCATATACGTCTACAGTGCAAGAGGATCGGGGGCTACGCGATGCCATAACAGAATTCTTCTATACGCACCCTGACTTATTAGACGAGGAGAGGGTGCAACACACTCTTCGGAGGACAGAAAACCTGTCATTTGACATAGTTATGTATTGGCGCCATGATCGCAAAACACCAAAGAAAGCTGTGCCTGTCTGGGGCTATCCCGTAGGCTCTTAACAAGACTCAGGACATTAGCAAATATAAGATAGGCTCTCAGTTACCTGCCTGTATCCTCAAGTTATTAAATCATTCATTACAATCTTCAAATTTGTCCAAGTCATCGTCATAATCCTCCGCCATGTCCCCAGCGCTGCCAAAGCCCTCGAGTGGATAAATCCTTCCATTGTCCGTTCCTCCCAAGTTCCCTATAACTTCTAGTGCCTTCTGAACCCTTTTTCCTGCTACTGCCTGGTAATTTCTGTCCTCTTCTCTCGCATAGTTGATGGCCTCTTGCTCTCGCCTATCTAGTTCAGCCCGCTGCTGTTCTATTGACGCTTGAGTATGCTCTAGTTGCAACTGAAGAAATTGCTTATTTTGCGTAAGCTCTGTAATCGCCGAATTTACAGTCGCCCTGAGCTGAGAGATCGATTTCGAGTACGCTGTATCTCCCAACAGGTCAACGAGATCTTCTGCATCAGCAATAAACTGCTCTAGTCCTACTGAACTTGTACGCAAGCGGTGGACAGCTGTGTGTCTTATGTTTGCAATGGAGAGTAGTAGTTCCTTTAAAGCTTTACGGGGACTCCCCCGCTCCAATACCCCTTCTCGCCTGAAGACCTCAGTCCATTTACTGAGCTCTACTGACTCAGGACAGTCCCAGCAACGCTTTCGCAGTGTATCCGGCATAGCCCGAGCCCCAAACTCATAACATGCAAGTTCAAGAGTCTTTTGAAGTCGTTCCATAAGCAGATGCTCCGTGGGAAACGGTAAATATACTGGAAATAGCGACGATGAGTTGCTGGCCTGACCGTTCGGAATGTCACTTCCCGAGTCTAGCGGTACCATAATTAGCCATGGATAATGAGTCTAGCGGCTAACGTAGCTCACCACGTGAGGCATCCATAACCCCAGCGCAGTCAAATGTTCCCTTGCTGTCAGTCAATTGGCTCTGAACTATGCTTTCAAGCGCGGTCTGTTCGGTTCTAATAGCTTCTGCTTCGAGTATGTCCCTTGCCTCGCTCTGGACGGCGGATGGGTTAAAGAGATCCGGGAATCGACGGCTTGCAGTCAACATCGATTCATATACTCCGCCAGAGAGCAGCTTAAGAACAACTTGGCAAATGCTTTCAACACCGTATATGTCTACGAATCGTCGTAGTGTATTATCTCGCCTCGAGTAGCTCTCGATGGACTTTTGTACGGGCCCAGGCCTTCGGAATTTGGCTTTTTGACCAACGAATAGGTCTTTTGTCGCTTGATAGACATCTTGATCGTTCAATTGATCCGTTGCTACTGGATCCATACTGCGAACTTGTTGGGAAGGGAAATCGATTATTACCTATAATGTTTATAGCTCTAATCACAAAGTAATGGTAGTGAAAGATAAGGCAGATAGTTTTACGCGACATCTGAGGAGTAATGCGGGGTAAGATTGCATCAACAGACAGGCCGTGGTTTAAAAAGCCAATAGAATGCCGAAGCGCGCTCAGGTCTCAGTTGGCGAGGTACCCTATAATTATGTGTAAACATGTCACCGCATTGTTGGTTATCACTGCCTAATGCCAGTTTTATTATCGTTCAAAGCTCCCCTCTGATAAACATGCATGTACCTCTCAATTCTGTATCGTATTCCTCAACCCCAACCAATCTGTTCAACGGTTCTCTGCTAGTCCAATATCTGGTAAGGCATCTTTGGCTTGTCCCATGGCTGCAAATATGTCACGCTCGATAGAACCTCGGATGTTGTCCAGGTTCTCGTCCCAATGACGTTTAACGCCCTCTATATGGACTCAGCCAGTAGCCAAAATAGTATAAGCAGCCTTGGACATCGCAACCCTCTCATCTCGTCCATCTCCTCCAGCCATTTTTGAATGTGCTCTGGTCCATCTCCTTCCAAACCTCTCCAGTCTTTCCAACCCATCATGTCCAAGACTGTACTGCCTAGTCGGCTCACACCGCCGCCATACTCGCGCCCATGAACCACCATACATGATGCTACGAACCGCTGCATCACTTTGACCCAGGTGCATTGGGGTTCCTGGTACCATGTACCTTTTTCGCGTGCTTCTTTTTCGCTCCCATATTTTAAATCCATTTCCTCGCGGTATACTATTCGCCAGCATAGCACGCTCGGGAATCGACAATCAGAGCATCGAGCTCCCATTCCACCGCCCTGCGCCTTGTAACGTCGAAACATCTCTAGCCAAGGGTGTACTTCGCTGGCCTCGTCATGATGTGAACAGTGCTTGAGCTTATGTGTATCGACAATCGGACCCCGTTCATAAAAAGCACAAAGCGCACATCCTACTGTCCGGGCACGGATAAGACTGCGCACGCGACAAACGAGCGGGTGCCGAGCTGTGTACTCGCCTTGGTCTTGTTCGGGCGAAAAAGACTCTATTGCTTCAGTAACTTTGGCGCGGATGAGCTCTGGTCGAGATAGCAACCCCAGGGTACTAGCAGCCGCCGGGCCTCGAGCAACATCAAGATTCCGGCGCGACGCAACGGGATTCAAGAATAATTCTATTGTTGCCCGCCTCGAAAGTAAGGGAGGGCTCGGAGACCAGTCGATGACTGATCTACCACTTTGCGTGTCGGGTGGCGTATTCGGACGTCGTCTCTTTGCACGCCTTTCCCTCGCAGTCTGAGACGGTAGAAACGCTGATGGACGAGCGGACTCATTTTGATCGCCTCCTGACATAATCGGAACGTAGATGGGCTTTTTGTGGAACGTGTAGTTTATCTACCAGCAGTGAGTCGCAAGAAAGGGGGTTTTGAAAGACGCGAGGAAATTGGGTGGCAGGAGGTTGGATGACGGCCCCACATTTAGTTCAGCCTATTAGCGGCGCTCATTCTCTGGGTAGACGTGCCGTACTATGTTGTGTTTATTATCTATCTCTAATGATCGCTGAACATCGATCCACCCACTCTGCCTTATTGCTCTTGAATACGCAGCCGATAAAATTTCTTGGCTCCCTCATGAGAAATATCAGGTCATTGCGGAGCTTGAAGAGCTCATCTTTAGGCGTTAGGCGCGATTCGCAGTTACGTGGGCTATCCCGGTTGCCTTTGACCTTTATCCAACCCAATTCTCGAAGCATTCGGTTATTCACCCCTTTGTGCTCTACGGTTACGGATGGCCAGGTCATCAGTCATGCCATTTCATCAACGTTGCGCGGAATCGTGGACACGACTCACCGATTTTCTTTGTCATCTCAGACACTCTCAGCACTGAATCACGGTCTTTATCCCATGGAAATGCCTCCGGCCGCAGGAACCAGAGCATTCTAGTCACCATGTTGGCTGCTAGAAGAGCTGGATCCCTTCTCTTGGTCGTGACGTTAAAACACTTCGTATTGGGCCGAACCTCGGGGGTTGCGCTCGACGCTGTGATAGTTAGCGTGAGCATGAGCATAAGATCACATAATGGATCCTCAAGACAATCTGTCAGACAGCAGTATGCTGCACAGTAATGAGATAGAACGAGTTGGTCCCCTTTCGCGAACAGCCGGCGTATCTCCGTAAAGCCTCTTTCCACAATATCTGGGATCTGCTTGATCGGTATCTTACAACCTAGATCGATCCGTGGTCGGATCTTCGCTCGCTTGGCGCCAGTCGAGTCGACCGACCTACGAGCCTCCGCCTCTAGTGCCCGTCTCTTGAGGCTGTCGGGTCGAGCCGCAAGGATAGTTACGGATGCAGCCGCTCCGACGAGTTGTACTACCTGTTGATGCGTCAATCTCCGGCGATGAGAGCCAGGGACCCATTCGATACTCGCAGATACCATGGCAGCTGCGATACCCGAGACCCACTGAGTCCTTGTTGCGAAGCTGCCTTTGGTGTGTTGGATCGCGGCCCGCAGAATAGAGGGCCATGTCGAGTGGGTCGGTGCGATAGACTCGACTCCTGGGTGACCCTTCCTGCCGCCCTCCATCAAAGCAACAAAGATCTCTTCTGCAAAGTCGCGTCTCGTCTTGAGCACGATCTTTGACTCATTCATCATCGAACGGTCATCGAACTTGAGTACTTCCGCCGAGAGTTTCTCGAAGTTTCTGTGGCAATGTTAGGAACGCGAAGGAATGTAAAGAGACTGCTGGTACGTACGACGTTTTGAATGGACTGTCTCGTGCCTCCCAGGCTTCTAAAGCGATCATCGCCTGAGCACTCTCCTCATTTCCCGTGCCGACATCACCATGTTCTCCAACACCGATCCTACCGCCACTGCGGATACCACGATTCAAGCCACGGCGGACTTGGCGAGCAATAAAAGCCACCGTCTCTGGTATCCACAGATCTTGGAATATCTCATGAAGGAACGTTGTCATCCTATCCATCCCGTCTATTGACCTACCCCCAAGCTCAGCAAACCACAGTTGACTGTGTCGGTTAGATGCCACAGTTCTATCATAGTGGTATTCTAGCGAGGCAACGTGCATCAGGACGGGCCGTCCATTGCTCAGTTGTGGCCATCCCACCAGGTTGACGAGTCCTTGTCCATCTCGGATGTCCAACATTCGCGGCGATATGAATGGCCATCCACATGTTCTTAGACTGTCTACCGTGCCGAGAAGCCTCATGACTTTGCTGGGGAGCACCCTCGGGTCCCCGGTGAAGCAAAAGTTGCCCAGTCGATCGAGCGCAGCGACACCCTCGGAGAGAGCCATGCCCAGTCCTTTCGATCCAGCCTCGCGGAAGCGACGGTCCATCTCTGCTATGGCTGCTTCAATGACCTTGGCAAAAGCCACCATGACGCCTGGAAAGATATCGGGAGAGAAGCGCCGGAGGATGCCTGCATAGAGCTGTTTCTCCTTGAGGAAGAGTCGCATGAGCTGGAAGATGGGTTGTAGTACGCTACTGAAGTTTCGACGACGGCGCACGAGTCGTGGAGCATCGATGGAAATGACCTGCTCGAATCGGAACGCAAACTCATTCGCTTGCATGGCTGCCTCGACCCTCTGTCGCTCCCGCGCAAAAGGTGTCGACGCGCCAGGGTTGTCAGGTGTGAGTCGCCCCCTCACTTGGGCCAGGAGTCGCTGCTGCTTGTCCTTGAGCCGGGCCGTGCGTTGAGCCTCCGTCGAGGGAATGGTGAGTGCAGCTGTGGCGAGGCCGTGGCTGGCTAGTAGGTCATGAGGGCCATGACGGATGGACCGTTTCAGGTTGGAATAGCCCTGAAAGAAGCCGAACGAAAGTACGTCGGCACCTTGATTCTGGTGGCTCATATTCTCCTTCATGACAGTAAACAAGTCGCTATCCAGGAAGGCAGGAGGACGGTCTGACGTGAAGTTGCCGTATGCGGGGTGGAAACCGAGTGGGTAGAAGGTGTAGTTACTCCCAAAAAACTCCCCGGCCACACGGTTGCGGTCGGCAAGCAAGCATACAGGACGGCTTACCCTTCCTTCCGTACCAGGAGAGGTATTTGCTGCGGTACAGTGAACATCAACAGCTAGGGCATAGGAGACGTGGCTGATGTTATCGAGGTTGTACTTCGCCTCAAGGGCCTCACGCAGCCGCATCAGGCCAGGACTATATAACGCATCATGTTCTGATGAAGGAGGTAGGCTGGATGGTGAGATGTCTGGTGCTTGCCTTGGATAGACGCCGTCGTTATCATCAGCATCTGGGCTCAACGGCTGCTGCTGGAAGTTGTCTTGCCCATCGTACTGGTGTTCCTGGTCTTCTAGTTGAGCCCCGTTGTGCTGTCCCCTATCAATGTTCTCAGATTCGTTCATCCATGCAAGGAACCTTCGTTCCTGCTCGTCATCACCATTAGGCCTGTTGGCGTCAGCTTCGCCATTACCATCTCGATATTCTGCATCGATTCGTCCTGGACTGAGTATAGGTGGTATTGGAGAAGCAACATCGTCCGCCCTCGCTGGCATGAACAGGCTATCGTTATCCTCCACTTCAACGGTTGGTTGGTCCCATAGCTCGTCGGGCCCATCCTCTCGTTCCTCTTCTCCAATTCCCTCCCATCCCTGCTGTGTCGCCGGCACACTACTGTTTTCTCGATCGTAACCGTCCTCGGACTCATCGAGATAGGCTGGCCGGATGACTATCTCTTCTTCGAGATTCGCTATGCCTTCATTCACTTCTATGTTGATGTTGGCACCATAGTCGTATGCGTGGAAGGCGGGCTGATGATCGGTCCAGAAAGTGTCGCTCTGAGCAGAGAGCCTTTCAAGGAACCCTGTCCAGCCGTCCATAAACAGTGTTTGGAATGTGACCCATTTGTCAAAGGCAATCATCTGCGTCTCCTTGCCCCCGAGAGCCCATCTCGGCTCAACACCTTCACCAAGGAGCTCGCCTTCAAGGAAGATGTCTTTGATGTACGATGCGAGCATCAGAGCACGGTCTTGCACGAGGGCAGTCCTTGTATGGGCTGTATCGTGCCGTCGACGGGGGTTGTTGGCGCCGATAGCCCTCTGGCTCGGGTGCATGACGATGAACCAGGCTTCTCGAGTAGCGCCGGTGGCAATACGGAAGGTACGGCCGCTGAGATCGAAGCCGATGCCCTGCACATGCTTCGCGCTATACGGGGCACTCCAATGACGAAACGATATCGTGATATTGTCAAAGAAGTGACTGGGCCGGCAGATCGGCCGGCGCGGTAGACCAACAATGCTAACGAAATCGAGCCGAAATACGGGGTAATAGTCGTCGTCCTCGCTCGCCGGCTTCGACCCAGTCTTCTTGCTCCCATAGTCCAAGACAACTCGGCGCTGGAGGAGGTCAAGAGCACGTGTCCCAGACGATATCTGAGGGTCTCAATCGGCCTCTTCAGAGGATACATCATCGCAATGGCCATCCTCGTCGAGTGCTATGAAGCAACCATTCTTTTCGCCTTCATCTGCGTTGTAGGCGCACTCATCACTTCGAACTACCCTTTGTGGAGGCTCTGTCTGTGATAGAAAACATCGCAGAAGCGGATCGGCTTGATCTCTTTCGGCCGTGGCTGTAGCTTTGGCATGTAGATGACTGCGAAGAGCAAATTGGCCCTCGTTCTTGTCAAGAACCTTGTCCATCCATCGGATTTGTTTCTGAGTATGTTCACAAAGATCGGGGACGGATTCAACGACATTAAGCAACCACATCATGTTATGTCGGGTAGGTAGCAGTATTGTCGGTCGAAAGTGCTTGGTCCCTTCGTACTCCTTCAAGACGATGCCGGCTGAAATGGGCAGAAGTAAGAAGTCCTCTCTTCCACGTTCCCGGTCCTCCCAATGTGGCAAATGCCAAGGGAGCAGATAGGGTCGTCCATATTCTGCATGCCATCGCGGGCCGACAAGTTTCGCGAAGTGCTCAAGAACAGACGAGCAAATTAAACTCCGCCGTGCTAGTCCTGTATTACACAAGCGATCCGTCTCGTACATGCACTTCCACCATAATCTACAAAGCACACTTTCTAAGGAGTGGAAGTATTCCACTGTCATATCCTCGGATTTCGTGTCTGGCGCGATGTCTGGGTGTCGGGTCTTATGATCACGGACCCATTGCCATGGAATACGGACGTTATCTTTTGGTGGAGAGAAGTATGGCGCCCAAAATTGGATCTTAAAGAATGTTGGTTTTCCATGGTACCAGACCTTGTCGTGTTGATAGGTGCCGACCTCGTTTTTCTGACTACTGTTGAGAGCAACCATGATATAATCCCCAATTACATGACGCAAACGGCAATCAAACGGCCCTACATACTGCTGAACTGTCTCCCAAGACTCTTTGAACGCCCGGTAGAGTCTGAGGAAGTAAAGGTGATTCCACGACGGTGGGCTGGGTCGGTGGAAAAGATGACGGAACACGAAAGACGACCAGCCATCATGAGGTGGCAAGTACTTTCGTGTAGTCATCCAGTAGGGCAACTCTTGGGGTAACTTATCTGGGTCGGTATCTGAGTCGAGCTGAGCATAGAGAGCCCATGCCTCAGCATAAACTTCCCATATTGTCTGAGCGGTCACAATCTGACCGCTTTCAGTCGCTGATTCTTCAATACCTTCTTGCAACCGTATAAGTGGGGGCACTTTGTCTTGGCCAATTCGTAAACGATCTCGTTCCCAGTATGATTGCAACTTCAACAGAATATGTTGATGATACGCTCTTGCAATTTCTTCAACTGCGAGAGAGAATGCCCGTTCCACGAGTTCCTCTGCCTCCTGKTGCTGATTACTTTCGAATGCTACCCGTGCCTCCTTCAGCCATTGCTGAAAAAACATATCAACCGTAATTTTAGACACAGTCAGGGTTTGCACATTAACCTGCGACGCAAGTCGAGGATGCAAAGG